TTGATCACAAACTTGGCCGCAACATTCACAAACCTCCGAAGGTTCAATGTCAAATTAAATCCCAAAAAATGTGTTTTTGGGGTTCCGAAGGGGAAGCTACTCAGATACATTGTGTCCGAACGCGACATCAAAGCCAACCCCAAAAAAATCATGGCCATCTCCAACGTGGGCCCTATGCGCAACGTCAAAGGTGTACAGAGGCTCACCGACTGTTTGGCCGCCCTGAGCCGGTTCATCTCCCAACTATGCGAGTAGGGGATGACTCTCTATAAACTTCTCAAGAAGATAGACACATTCGTCTAGATAGAGGAGGCACAGCAGGCTTTAGAAAGCCTCAAAACATCACTAACATCAGCCTCAGTCCTCGTCGCTCCCGAACGGGGAGAGCCCCTCCTCCTCTACATGCAGCAAACAACTATGTTGTGAGTGCCGCCCTCGTTGTTGAGAGGAAGGAGCCGAGACGCCACCTGAAGGTGCAATGACCGATGTACTTTGTTGGTGAGGTACTCATCGACGCCAAGGCTCGATACCCCGAGGTGTAGAAGCTTCTGTATGTCATTCTGATAGCGACCACGAAGCTCCTGCACTACTTCACCAATCACGAGGTCATGGTCGTCACCTCATACCTGCTGGGAGACATCATCTACAACCATGGTGCTGCGGGATGAATCTCCAAGTGGGCTCTCGAGCTTATGGGTCATGACATCAGGTTGGTCCCTCGCACTGCCACCAAGTCAAGGCTCTCACCGACTTCATCACCGAATGGACGGAAGACCAGCTCCCGACCCTAGATGTTGCCCACGAGTACTGGATAATGTACTTTGATGGGTCGGTTAAGGCACCCGGCTCGGGGGCTAGAGTGGTTCTGATCTCCCCAGATGGTGGCAAACTCCGCTACGTGATCCGTCTCTATTTTTTGGCCTCAAACAACGCCGTAGAATACAAGGCCCTCATCAATGGACTACGCATCGCCATCGAACTCAGCGCTACATGGCTGTACGTCTATGGTGACTCGGAGTTAGTTGTCCACCAAGTCATAAAGGAGTCCTCCTGCAAGAGCCCTCTTATGGCAGCATACTACAAGGAGGTGCGTAAGCTTGAGGACAAGTTCCGAGGGATCAAACTACATCATGTCCCCCGAAAGGACAAAGATGTCACCAATTTCCTCGCAAAATTGGCTGCTAGGCAGGTTCCATCTCTAGATAGGGTCTTCATCAACAATCTCCATGAGTCATCTACCCACATTCTGGAGGATCCAATCCAGACACACTCCGACACCAATCTGGCACCCGGGGGCTCCGACCTCCCGACATGTCCTGACCTCGACCAAGTGCTCGGGGGCTCCGACCTTGGTGCCTCCATGATGACGTCGCCCGCCGATGTCACCGTGGTGGCACTCGATCAGGCTAACTAGAGAACACCACTACTCGCCTACCTCCTCAAGGAGGTTCTCCCACCAGAAAGGATGGAAGCACGATGAATCACTCGACGCATCAAGACATTCGTTGCCATTGGTGATGAACTTTACAAGCGAAGCCTATCGGGAATACTCATGAAGTGCATCCCGACTGACCAAGGGAAACAGCTCCTCCTCAAGGTCCATGTAGGAATCTGCGTACATCATGTGGCCCCGAGGTCGCTGGTCAGGAAAGCCTTTCACCAAGGTTTTTATGGGCCCACTATGCTGCGAGATGCAGAAGAGGTCATCCGCAGGTGTGAAGGATGCTAGTTCTATGATCGGCAAACTCATCTACCGGCACAAGAGCTTTAGACCATCCCCATCACCTGGCCATTCATGGTCTGGGGCCTCAACATGGTCGAACCCCTCAAAAAGGCCCCATGTGGCTTCACCCACCTGCTCGTAGCGGTGGACAAATTCACCAAGTGGATAGAGATGAAGCCTATCACCAATATCCGCTCGGAAGAGGCGGTCAAGTTCTTCCTCGACATCATCTATCGGTTTGGTGTTCCAAACTATATCATCACGAACCACAGAACAAACTTCACTGGGAAGAAGTTCCTAGACTTCTGTGACAGATATGGCACAAGGATCGATTGGGCCTCGATCAGATACTCGCGTACCAATGGTCAGGTCGAGCGGGCCAATGGGATGGTCCTCCATGGACTCAAGCCCCGCATCTTTGACCGACTCAAAAAGTATGCCGAACGATGGGTTATAGACGTCCCAGTGATCCTCTGGAGCCTAAGAATGACCCCAAATCGGTCCACAGGGTTCACCCATTTTTCCTCGCATAAGGAGCCAAAGCGGTGTTGCCCTCCGACCTCGATCACGGCACCCCAAGAGTAAAGGCCTTCGACCAAGACCGAACCACGGAGGCTCAGTAGGACGCGGTCGACCTGCTCGAGGAGGCTCATGAGACGACTGCCATCTGCTCCGCTCGTTACTAGCAAACTCTCCATAGGTACCATGAAAGAAAAATCAGGGGGAGGATCCTCGTGGTCGGTGATCTTGTACTCCAAAGGACCCAGTCGACCAAAGAGAAACATAAAATCTCTCAACCATGGGAAGAACCCTACACGGTGATCGAGGTGATCCGACTGGATGCCTACCAGCTGAAGGACGACAACGGCAACGTTCTCACCAACACATGGAACATCGGACAGTTATGTTGTTTCTTCCCCTAAAGCTCAGTCTTAGCTTTTCTTTCCATTCAATGTTTGCTCCTACAGCACCCTAGTCTGAGCACTCTTGGCCTAGGTTGCTCGGGGGCTCCACGGGGGTGCGATACCACCCTCCTTTTTTACTATCATATAGTAATACTTTTCGCCCAAACGAAAGGGCGTCGCCCAAACAAAAGGGCATTATGTTCCTTTGATTACCCTAAGTAACTTATGTTTTAACCTCCCGACCAATCAAACCCCACCACGACCCTACTGATTTACATGACAATTTGAACCTCACGGGCCGCCTAGGTTCTTAAGTTGCAACCTATGGGTCAACGCAAGGAAAAGCGAAAAAGAAAGGACAAGAAACTAAGCTATACAAGGGGTGAAAACAAGGCGGATGGGACAAGCAT